CCCCCCCCCCCCCAGTGAAAGTATATAATAATCCATAATAGATCAAATTCTGTAATACGTGACTGAGAAATTTAAAAGTTAACGTATTAGACTCATAATCTACAAAACTTCCATTGAGAATTGATTTCGAGCTCTGCGAAGAATATTGATCTTATATATCACAATATTGTAACGTGACGAAGTGTTTTAATGTGGAAAAAGGAATGCAAACGCACAGCAGGGGAGTAGCAGACGAGAAACACGTATGTGTATCGAGTGACGCGTCGGCAAGACTAGCGGGAATCGCGAAAAAAAAATCCGTCTGGTCGTACCCGATACGGCGATTCTTCTCTTAAGGAGAGGAAAGGGGTAAGGATTGAGAGAAAAGAAACCGCGAGGGAGAGACATGGAAAGACCGTTTTCATAGTCCAGTTCGTAGATTGTGTCGTTATCAAATACGACGAGGCAACGCCATGTGGTGACGGAACGGTTTAAAGGGGTTAAAGTAGCTTGGCCTGGTTCGGGAGGTCAAAGAGAGGAATTTCCACATCGATTCGTTCGATGCAATCGATTCGCGGTTGCGCAGCGAATGCACGCGCCTGCACGCACGCACACTCACGCTCGCGTTCACGCGTGTATCTTATGACGCGCCGCCGCCCGTATAGCCTCGATCATCTCCCGACGCACCGACTGCATCGCGAATGATCTTAGCGCGACCGCGGCGATTTATCTGCGCGTTTGGTTCATTGACTCGTCGACTCGTGGCCGACCGAGATGAGGCTTCTTGTTTTCGCCCCGCTGCTGCCGCCACCGTTGCTACCGCTGCTGCAGTTACCGTTGCTACTGCAACCGAGCGCGGCGGTGCAATGTGTGACATAATTATTTGTTTGTTGCGCCGAAGCGGTCGACCGCGATCAATCATTCATCATTTATGAAACACGGTCATAAATCGCCCGAGCGAGCGTACGTTCAGTTAGCTAGATGAATGTTTGCGCGTTTATTTATTTATTACATTCCTATCGCCAAGATTTATTAATTTCTTAATTATTTTATCATTCTTGTTTATAAAGTTATTCCATTTCTTATTGCAGTAATATGGTTATTCCTTTATCAAAAGTATTGTATTGATTGCATGACGGAAGTAAAATTCACAATAATTAACATTTAGTTAATATATATAAAAAAAATACAAAGCATGAAAGTACATGTAATTGCAGTAACAATTATATAAAGAAAGTCATTAAAAAATTTAATAATAAAGTCAAAATCTATAGTGTTTGCTTGATTTTAGTTTAATACGTATTGTGATACTTTTTCTTTCCAGAGTGCTTTGTTTTTTTCTTTATCTACGACAGTTTTTCTATATTACTTTTTATTTTCCCGCGCATTTATTATGAAAATGATAACTAAATTCGAATACGTTGCGTAAAAATATCTAAAAAACAGAGATCTTTCTTTCGCGGCATATAATTAGGTCTAGTACGTATGTGACCGTCGGACCCACGTTTAAATTAGTTTACGTAATTCTGACAGAAGATAAATCCGTAAAGACTTAATTATAGAACCCGATAACGAAACCGGAGAAATAATTACTGGAACGCGATAACGTGGATATGGACGAGAAGTCGGAACAAGACGGGCGATAAAAAAAATCAAGCCGGAATTTCGCTGCCGCCGCTGCGTAACTCAATTGCCAACCGAATTTCCGATTCGTAATACGTTTATTCACATTCTGTTCTCGCAACTCGTGACTTTCTTCATGTTGAAACTTAGCGAAATTGTCTTTTTCAATGAAACCCCTGAATTAGTATAAATTTCAGTAAGTCATCATCTTTGAATCTATTAGACTGCGGATAGTACAATGAATTGTATTCCAGGAGTATATAATATAAATCACGTTTATGATAAAATAGATAGTCCTTTTCTTTAGAATTATATAAATATGTCACAACTTTTCTCTCATATATAGATATAACTTATATAATATATGTAAGTCTATAGCTATCTCAGAAGCTGGTATTTTTTCTTGAGTCATAAAGAAAGGCCGATAGAAAGTGTACGACTTTGAATATCACCTTGTATACTTTCTGTCCATACGTGAGAGAAATAAATTTTCGCCTCTTTTCTTCCAGAATGGATTCGTGGAGTGTTTGAAACAACAGTGTCCAAACATCGAAGGCTGCTACGCGTTGCTGGACCCTCGCGACAACGAGTGCTGCCACAAATGCACAGGTAGAATACTTGTCCGTCCGCTAATTCGTCTAATTATCCTAATCATTCTAATTGGCTCGAGTTTACCCGCGCCACGACCGGAATGGAAGAGAGAGAGAGATAAAAAGGGAGAGGGAGAATATGCCGGTGGCGGTAAGAAGGAAAAGCGAAAACTCGCGGAATGCTCGACCGGCGGAGCATTGTTCCCGGGGCACAAAGACACTTCTGTTTGCCGACATGATGATAAACCCGAAGAACTTTAACGTCACAGTCTCTCGCGACTGTCTCTGTTTATAAAATGTAGCTGACAGATGCATGGTCTTTGTTATCGTCTACTATTAATTATGCTAATGGTGACGTAAGTTCACTTGCCGCCTGCCGGACGAAGACAAAATTCGCCCAGCAAGTATATTGTATAAAGTACACCAAAAAAAAAAATATAAAAATAAATAACAAGACATATAAAGAATAAAAATATGTAATATTGTCAGTAGTTTTACTTTATATTTAAAAAGACAAGAGATAAGTATATTTCTAGCTTATCAGTTGTTAATTTGTTCTCTCTGAGCATCCAAATATTTATTCGAATATGCTATCTTCTCAAAGTACGCAAATAACAGTCTTATTGTCTAACTTTTAATTCAACTGCACGGTATGTATATAAATTATTCGATGTACGATTTTACGTGTAGATGATGGTACTTATAGAAGACTTCGGTTTCTTTCACGTATCTTAGGGTGCATGCAGAACGGCGTTTATCATGCATCGGACACGGAGTGGACGGAAGAAAACGATCCCTGTCAAATATTCACCTGTAAAGCGGGCGTCATCACTGAATCGAGACTACGGTGTTACACGCCCTGTTCTCATCCGAAAGCCGCCCCATCTGGCCAGTGTTGTCCTATATGCGAAGGTGCGTAACTTTTTTCTTCCTTCTTGCGCGCTTTGATGTTGCTGCTGCTGCTGCTGCTGCTACTAATTACCCACGCCAATCTCACAAATATTTCTCACGATCGTCTGATTGCCTGCCGCGCAATTAAAACTGGAATGTTCCGCTGATATAACGAGGGGAGAACGATAATGATTGAAAATTACAGCGCCGCTTCTACCCGACGAAAAACGAACGGACGGTAACACGTAACATTCTATTTCACTTTTTCTTTAGAATAATGTAACCACATAAATTCAACACACGACGTCCTCATAAAATTTCGCATCGTACAAATAATACAACTGCGATTTTTTTCTATATACAAAACAGTCGTTATATTATTTGTACGACGCGAAATCTTATGAGGACGTCGTGTGTTAAATTTATGTGGTTATATTATTCTAAAGAAAAAGAAAAATGTGTATGTATCGTTTCGCATGAATTAATATTCTGACTCGACACAACTTCATTCCCGAATACAGAAAAAGAAGCTAAGCGCGAAATGTTTTGATCTATATTTTGCAGGTTGTTTAGTGAATGGACAGAAAGTGACGGAGGATAGGTCGGTGACGACGACGGAAGACCCCTGCGTAACCTGCAAATGCAACAAGGGGCATCTCACCTGCGCGAAGCAAGCCTGTCCGACGCTTAATTGTCCTCTAACGAGGATCGTCAATGAACCCGGGGAATGCTGTCCACATTGTCGAGGTGAAAGAAGTTAAATAATTTTCAATTAAATTCATTAAAATGAATGCCGGGTCTCTGCTACGAAAAGAAAAAAGAAATGATCTTTCTTTAAAATAATGACTTCTAAAAATTGTGTTAAAACAAAAAGGGAAGTCTGTTCCTTATTATTATTCGCTAATTTTTACTTCCTTACTTTTATTTGCATATATATTTTCAATTTAGATGACGGTAATAACACGTTATTCTTTTTTTTTTACGACACACAAGCCGCTAATTAAATTATAATATACATTTAATATTACATAAAGATATAAGATTACTTATTTATTGCGTAAGCATTTCAATGCCGAGGGATCAAATTAATAACGAGATACTGGAGGTTTGCTTCAACAGAAATTTTCAAACGAAATATTTTCTAAGCAATTGCACAAACAATTAAAGTCACTTTGAATTTATAGGTCATTCCGATCTCTCTTACAATACCAGAGGCGCGAACCGGTTTTATACGAATCTGATTATTTTCCAATGTCGCAATTGCGCAAAAACCAGCCGCACGTAATGTTACGATTGTCATCTAACCATCCAGGAATACGCGCTGCCATTTGATTATACATATCTCCCTGCAACTTTCAAATTCTGCATGAAAATATAATGCAAAATATGAAATACATATCGCGATAATTACATCGGATAAAAATACAAACGATAGCGTTAAGACTGCATAAATTAAAAAATATTACATAAAATTAGCATAAAATTTACAAATATTATTATACCTACAACCACCTATTAGTATACCTCATTGGACTGCAGATAACATTAGATATACAGTTATACGTGAGAAAATAATTCGCGTAATTGACAAGTGTTACAAGAGAACGATTCATATAGTTTTGCTTGTAGCGCGGTCATTAGCACATGTTCAAGTTAAAAGATTGAAAACACTACTTCTATCACACAGGCAGTGCAAGATTTTTCTCACCTCCGAAAGGCGCGTGCATGCTAGGCACGGGTTTGTATACCTCGGGTAGTGAATTTTACGCGGATCATTGTACGCGCTGCACCTGCGTCAATTCGGCGATCTCGTGCATGAGGGAGACCTGTCCGGTGCTGGAATGTCCCAGGGAACATCAGGTGACCCAACTCAACCGCTGTTGCCGGCAATGCTCGCTCGTCGAGGAGAGCAGAGCTTCTTGCTCTTATGGTGGAAGAACTTATGTGGCGAGTATCACGCTTTTATTCGTCGTCATGCAATCTTATCCATCGCGTGAGCAACCTAATTGCGAAATGAGAAACTAAACTAGGGCATTATCAAATAACCTTTATTAAGCTGGCAGAAGCAAGTCAACAAAATCAAATCGGATCTTTAAAATATTTACTACTTTTGTACTAAATTATATAATTAAAAATAATTTTGTACTATGTGCCATTTCGAAAAAATCAATAGCACTGCTATATTAAACTGGCACCACTTTTGAAATAAGAAGAAACAGATCAAAATCAGAAATATAGGATTCAAGAGAATTGAATTTGTACTAATTTTTATTTTAATTATCAAAGATAATCTTTACTACGTGTTATTTCCAAAAAAAGTGTGGCACTGTTAGTTTAACATACTTATTAATAATTTCTTTAAAAGAAAATTTAAAAAATAGAATACAAGAGAATAAAAATAAACAAAAATAAAAAATAAATTAAAATGAATTGAAACGACTTTATTAATATTTATATACTTACAATGTATATTTTATTTTGTTGATTTATAATATAATTTGTATTGAGTATAAAAAGCTCACGATACAATGTGATATATATATTGTTTAGTTATTTTTAAAGATTTAGGAGATTGGCAAAAATAGAACTGAAGTATAAAAATTTAGACTGATGTATTCAAGAAATAAAATATTATCAAATTATAATGAAATTGTTTATGTATATATTTATGGTATATTTTTGCATTGATAATTATTTTTCCTATCATTAGAATATGAAAATATTGTGCTTGAAAATTACGCGCAATTACATATGTATTTATATTATATATGTATAATGTAAATATTAGAAATTATATAATCATAAATTTTATAATTATAATATAAATTAATATTATAAATTACTATCGATTATAAATTCGAATAATTGACATGCAAAAGTTATACTACACACTATATCGAATTTTTCAAGGTTAACTCGAGAATTTTCCGATTTACTACGTACATAATTTTTGTGATTGTATTTACAATATATTCTGAAAGTTTAAATAAAATTTTTTTAAAACAAGCCCTAGTTAAATAGATTAATATTTACTAAAAATATACCACTAGGCTTCAAAGGATTAAAAAAAATTAAATTCATTGCGAATCTTGAAAATATCTTCTCGCAAGTATTTTGATTTCGTATCCATTATCGTTAGACGTTTCATCTTGTCAGGGTCATTTAAACGACTTTTTTTGTCCTAGGCAGGATGGCGAAAATTGGAAGCTGGATTCCTGCAAGACATGCACCTGTAAACAGGGCAAAGTGCGCTGCGCAATGCCTCAGTGTCCACCGATGAACTTCCGTTGCCCGCCAAATTCCAAATTGGAACATCCGGAAGGCCAATGCTGTCCGCGATGTGTCGAACGTGAGTTTTATCGTGTTATACCCCTCTCGAAGGATTGGTGTATATTTAATTAAAATATTAAAATTATTAATTATTCCAGGTGACGGAGTTTGTACAGTTTTTGGAGACCCGCACTATCGCACATTTGACGGTAAATTCTACAGTTTTAAGGGAGCATGCAAGTATCAGTTGGTTACCGATTGTTTCTCTCACACATTCAGCATACGGGTAACCAATGATGCTAGAAAGACGAAATTTTCAGCGTGGACCAAAACTATTGCTATAAAGGTATATTAAGTTATACGAAAATTTTAATATAAATTGTAGCACGAAATAAATTTAAGTCTTGCTTCCTTGAACTGAACAGACTGAAGCTAATTAAAAAAAAAAAACTAGAAAGAGTCATATAAAGCATCATTATTGCATTCGCATTTTATGCAATAATATCACTTACTCGCATAGTATATTGAAAACTGATGCTTCCAAAATTTTTTAAGATACTTTTTTAATTGTTTTACAAATAAGACTATAGATTTTGATTGATGAATTGGCTCAATAACTTAATTAATAGCCTTGATAAATAAAATCTTCTCTGAGAGAATTTTTTGCTCTATTCGAAAAGAATTGCCACCGAATAAGATGGAAAAAAAAATTTTTTTCGTTTTATTAGTTTTATTCGTTACAATTATGTTACAGATCGGTGATCTGAAAGTAAATCTTGGTCAGAAAATGAGAGTGAAAGTAAACGGGAAGAAGGTGGATGTTCCTTATCGCGTTGCTAACCAACTGGACCTCAATCGTACAGACGACAGTGTAATTGTCAATACGCGAATCGGGGTCAAGGTTCATTGGGATGGTATCAGCTTTCTCGAAGTGTCTGTGCCTTCGTCATATAGGAGTAAACTATGTGGTCTTTGTGGTAACTTCAATTCTCAAATCAAAGACGACTTTACTGTGCGACATGGACGAGTGGTGCAGGATCCGCAGCAGTTTGGTCAATCCTGGGTTGTGGGTGGTGCCAAGAAGACGTGTCCTCGAACAAAATTCGGAAATAATACCAGGCAGAGACGTTGTCGAGAAAGGAAAGATCAAAAGTAAAATATATTTTTATTATATCAATTATTTTATATAGCTACAAATACATAATAACTAAAATGATTTCTCTAATATCTTAAAATTCTTAATTGATATTTATATAATATTTATTTATAAAAAGTATAGCCTTATTGTTGGTGATTACTAGTAACACAAATATTTCAATGAAACTAATTTTTAATTAAACCGCAATTATAGTATCATTCGGTTAATTATTTTTTTCTTTTATTTTGTTTGTCGCATATTATCTTAATAATCGCCTATACCTAAATGTTTCCAAAATTCATTCTATGTTCATCAAAATAAACGCCTTCTATTACAATTTTTTGTGATTGCAGATTATGTAATCGACTAAAATCACAGATTTTTTATCCGTGCCACAAGAAGGTGAATCCAGCGATGTACTACAAAGCCTGCCTTCAGGACATGTGTGAGTGTCCGACCCAGCGCTGCTATTGCGAGTCCTTCGTGGCGTATGCGCACGAATGTAAGCGTCTCGACATCCCGCTGCCGCACTGGCGAAAAGCCACGAGATGTTATACCGTTTGGGACCAGTCAATAAGTTCGACGAATTTCGCTCGCCGTTTACATTAATCGCGCACTTTGTCCACCGCCGCGTCCGGCCTCTAAACTCTATCTCGAAAGACGTGCAGCGAGAACGGCCTTATCATACATTCTGCATGCATTTAGAGAGAAATCACTCTATGTATGATCCCATTCCTTTTCTTCCCCCTTTTTCCTTTCTAAGATAACGTTAGTATATACGAATAATGAAGAAGAGATACGATGCTGGAACAGGTGGAATTAATGCACATTTGTTCTGTACATAGAATTGGATGATACTATAAAACACGCGTATGAGATAGTCAAAGAAAAATAGAATTTTCTCTGAAATTCGGAATGAGTTCCCAAAATGGAATTTTCTATCGTGGAAGATAAAGCTTGCGGTTAAATACTCAATAAGTGAATAGCACAAATAACGTGGCACTTTTCTTAGTAGTTATCCTACGATATATACCACGAGGGGATTAATGTGAAATAAGTATTCATAAATGCTTATTTATTCGTGGAGCAACGTAATGCACGCGGCACTTATAAGTCTTCCGTCTATAATGAGAAACGGCAATAGACTGTTAATGCGGTAGAAAATGTTTCGCTGCTTGCGCTGCAAATGTAATACGAACGACTATACGTATATTGACTGACAAGCCGTCGGAATAATCGTGGTATTATATTACGACAAACGACGTATGTAACTGTTAACAATGATGAAGCATAAAATAGTTGAACATTTTTTCTCGACTTTGCAAGCTACCAGCTTACGTCTCCTCTTCGACATTCTTCGCGATGTTATCTTTCTATTCCCAAGAGCTCCTTCTGTCTGCGAGAGCGTGCAGACCGGACGCGGCGGAGTGCTCGGCGAGAATCTACTAGTCACCACTTCGTATCAATATGCATTAACGGTAAGTTCCTGTGCCCCCGTGTTAATAACGTCGAGTAGTAACTAGGGACGCACTCGAGCCGGAGTAGTACTCTTTCATAACTTTTTGACAAGGAAAGAATCAAGTTTTATATTAATAATGATTACATGAATAATCATATATCAATAATAATTACACAAAAAGTACACAAAAGAGAATTTTTACTGTTAAATAAAAATATATGATATTTTATACAAAATATATGATATTTTTTCCATTATTATAATACTTTTAAAAATTATAAATGATTTTAGAATTTATAAATATTTCTTTTACGAATCTTTACACAGACTTTATAAAAATTAGATTACTCTTATGCGCAAAATGAACATCTTTCTGCATTTTTAAATAAAAATATTATACTTGTTTAATTTAGTTTTATGTTTCTTAAAATTAGAATAATTTTGCAATTTAAAAAAGTCATCGACCTGTAACCACTATTTCTAACAAATCATTCTTACATTTTATCATCTTTTTTATTTTTATAGTGAATTTTTCAGTCAGACTCTGACTCGAGTGCCTCTATAGTAGCGACTGTTCGTCGACGCGGAGCGGTGGCGATTTCGCGCTCATTCGTACGGAAATCTCACGTGGGTCACAGCAGCACAAGTACGCAGCCATGACGTCCGGAACATGGATCTCACATGTGTGTATGTGTGCGTCACGATTTCACGCGAAATCCCGTAGATCCGAGAGGAAGCATTACGAGTCAAAACTAGAGTCGTGCAAATATCGGAAAATGGATGATCTTGTGTCGCACGGAGTGAAGCACAAAAAGTAAACTCATATTTAGCTCTAACTTGGTGTAATTTAATCTTGAATTTTATGTCAATGCAAATTCGCGCGCATTATTGTAAATCGAGAATGACATATCTAGTTTTAAGATCGTCCCTCGTGTATGGGATGTTGGATTTTTATTACCGAAGAAAAAAAAAATTGATGTGAGGTACCGTAATTGACAATTTGTAGTATCATTATGTTGTATTGTAATCTCGTAATTATTGGCATTTGATAACTTTGAATGCTGCCTTATGAATTTTATATGGACTTCACTGAGAGGCTTATGTACGATCACTCAAATAAACGCAGAAGTAGAGCTCTATTGAACGAGAGATATACATATGCGTAAGTACTTTTAGTACTTGATAAACAAAACCGATATGCTTGAATTCGTGAGGACTTTAGCTGTTAGCAGCAGATGTCTTGTAATGTTTCGGAACACCGTGCAGTATTTCGGCCGATGAGCAGGCTCGCGGCATAGCATGTACATCCCAGTTTAACGCAATCAATCGATTATATGTATATGTATGTGTACACATATAAATATGTGTGGACTCGCGGGTCTTCGAATCCACAGATCTGTGTTTCCGCCGAATCTTGTATTCGTATATCTTGTGTTCGTATCTTTTTTGCGAGTCTCCGCAGTTCAATGAATCGTCGAATTCATCTGATGAATCATAGATCTGCGGTTTCTTAAACTCTTTTTCGCGCTTTCTGAGATCTTTGAACCCAATTAAATCCGGAGATTTATCCGTAAATCGCACATCTAAACGGATTTCCAGATACGCGCGTTGCGCCTTCAATTCATAAATTTTTTGATCCATAATTCCGCGATTGCACGATCGCTCTCTTGTGTGGATCTGTATCTGTAATAAATTTAGAGATCCACAAATTGCGCTTGCACTCATGAATCGTGACTTCACAAATATGTTCTATTTCTAGATCCGTGGTGCCATAGATCTCTGATCTCATCATAGATCCACCGTTTTACACAGATCTTTGGATTCACAGGCTCGCCGTTTATCAGATTCTTACATTTTCGTCATGTAGAATTAGGAGGGAGCATTTTCCCGTTTTTCTCCGATGAGTACACCTTTTTTATATTATGTATACATATATCTAAGTAGCGTATAATGTTTATATATATTTTAGTTTTAGTGAAACGTTTACAAATTGTATATAGAAAGACACGATTATTAACGTTAAGCGAGCACTAAGCATGGTTTCTAATCATTCGTGCCACGATTTTTATTGATTCTTCACTTATTCTCTTTTTTTTTTACTCAGTTTCTTTGTTCGACTTTTCCCTTCCCTTCTTATTATATATTTCTTCTTTTTTTTTATTATTAGCAAATTATTACAAAATTTTGCAAAACAGTGTAGATCTATTTTATTAAAGGTACTTTTGCGGAAGGCGAAAGAACGACGTTCTTTTTTTAATTTAGTAAATCTGTACATAGCCAAAATACACTGTAATTAATTATCACCGACGAGTTTCGACGAGAAATCGAACCAACTCTGTATATCGGGTAGTCCAAAGCGTTAGCCAATTTTTGTCGACTTTAGCATAGAGCTATAGTGTAGAACAAAAAGTTGAGCGTAATAAACCAATTATATTCACAGACGCTATGTCTGTAAAATTATTTTTCTTCCTCTCTATATTCGAAAATATATCAAGAAAGTTCTACAAGCGTCATATTGTAAAAAAAAAAACGTAACTTTTGTAATTATTTTCTAATTATTCTTCTTTATTTCCCCATATATACAGACATTATTCTGTAAAATTAGTATAAAAAATTATATCGCATACCGAAATAACACGTGGAATAAAGAGAAGGGAGTAATATCAATTTCAGATATATATATTCATTTATTTAAAGAGACATTTCCTTTTGACAGTCAACACGTTTGAGAGTTTTCAAAGTTGTATTATTACAAATTGTGGCCTTACTTTCTTTTTAGACCAAAGAGATTTCATGTTACATGCCGATAGATTTCAAATTAGTTACACTAAAATGTATGAAATAAATCTTGTATAAGATGTACTAAGGAAAAGAGAAGAACGTGTTCTATCCGAAAGTATGAAAATGTTTTAGAAAAAATTCAAACGTTAAGTAATACCTAAAAGTATTTCCAACGAACGGACGAGAAATTATCGTGTATATTAAAATCATTTAACAAACCTCATAACACGAGAGATTCGGAACTTTTATTACGATATTATAAATGCACAAAACATCTTAAAAATAGTCATATATATGTAAATATGTATATTATATATAGGCGTAATCAAGAAAACGACAGATTTTATTACAGTATGATAGGATGAAGTAGAGAGTGCTACGCGTTGATCGGGATATCCTGATATATATTCTACATTTTTGACTACTTTCTACCTTCTTCCTTATCTTTTTCTATTCTTTTTCTCTTTATTTCCTATCTCTTTCTTTAACTTAAATGCTAGGTGCAATGCGCTAGTCAATTGCTGAACTACTTCCCCGTAAAATACGCACGCATCTGCAGCGTTATTAATCCAATTAAAAGATATCAATTAATCACAGATCGGATATGCTTCTTATAAATTTTTTCAAACATCCACGAAAAAATTAATATTTACGTTACAAGAACGAGAAGTACATAAACTCTAACGAAATAAATTCTTATATTATATTATATTATTTATTAAAATGTGCAGTTATGGTTTCTGTTATAAAAATATTTTTTACATTAAAATAATTCAAATTTAATAAATTATATTTAAATATAAATTAAATTTATACATTATAAATGGCATTGTCTCATTCGGTTTTAAATTTTATTAATTATTTTTTATCGCCGCAAATGCATTATGTATAGTTCACGATTTTGAAAGAAAAGATATTTTGCTTCCAACGAATTTTTCTTCTCATCCCTTGTCAAAAAAATAATTCGTTATTTTACGCACAATGAAATATTAATATGCAGCAAGTAAATAACATTAACATTAGAGACCTATATATTTAATTATTCTGATTTTTTTTCCGTTAATGAATCTTCAATGTTCATTTACAGAAGAATTCGATGAAATTTCCGGATTTTTCCATTCAAAATAGCGACAGACGCGCATACTTGCGCATCGATTCCTTCAAAATTTCATATCAATGAAAACGTACTATATCCCCTATCTTTCGAAAGATCAAAAAGATAACATCTAGAATGAGAGATCAAGAAAGGGAAACAGAAAAAATGACAGTTCAAAGGAAGAGTGAGTGATAGAATGAGAAGAAGATAGAAATCAAGAATTGCTACAAGTCTAGTACCACATCATATTTCTATTGAGAAAAAAAGGAATTGCTATAAAATCACTCTGATACATACATATTTCAAATTAACGAATTTATCATTTTTAGCGTCAAATCAATCCTTGTTGATTACACAGAATGAAAATAAATACAAACATATCGTCCTTTCAATGATCAAATTTTAATATAAAACATTTTCTATATGTATATAAAAATAATATGTATCATTCACTAACACATTTTTATTTGTTTATTAAATAAATATTATATCTATAGCAGTTAAAATAAAAGTTAATTCTATAAATATACAACAAAATAAAAATTTCTCAAATAATGATTTTATATTTTTTTTAAATATTCTATTTAAAATTAAATATGTTGATAGATAATGGCTTACTTTTCAGATCTTTTTTCAATCGGATATGAATTTATTATTATTAGATAGAATATTCTCAAATGCTAAAAATGAAACTAATTAAGATAAAAACAAAATCCTTCTTGCAAAACTGTAATTCTATGCAATCATGCTTATTAGGATTTTTAGCCTAATATAGCACTCTCTCTCTTTCTCTCTCTTTCTCTCTCGTAGATATATGTATCAACAATTGCAACTTATCAGCTATTCTTATAATGCCTCTCAGTTGCCTTCTTACACCACCTGGACCAGACTGAAAAACTTTACAAGAAAATGCCATAAATGTGGCAATGAGAAATTCATTAGATATGACGCACGTAGAAAGAAGGGAAAAGGAAGCAACAGCCTCCTTTTCATGAATTTCAATTTCTCTTTTCTTAGTACAAAAATAGATTTCGGGCACAGATCGCGCAGCCCCTAGGAATATTTTAAATCTGCAATGTGTTAATAAAATAATCAAATTTAATATTGTTATACTATTGCAAAAACAATATCAGGTTTTCGTGGCTATGGACGTGAAATTGGTACATTTCTCATTTTGATGGATGCAGAAATTTTTTATTACATTTCTCAAAGTTATAATATCATGGATCAACAAAAATCTTGCATTATCGTAACACTCGAAGATGTGAACGAATGCAGCGAACGCAGAATGTGCAGAGAGCTAGTATGCCAACTATCACATTGACTTACAGTAATATAATCGTATATGATACAACAATGTAAATTATAATTAGTTAATTATAATTAGAATTGGCAAAGTACATACTATGAGAGAACAATGATTCTGATTTTAACTGGTTAAATTTGTTACGATATCTCGAAATTATATCGGACAATCGATGCAAAAATAAGACATAATTTCGTGGCGAGACTGCGCGAGGTCGCCCAATCGAAGAACAAGAATCGCCCGTTGAAAAAAAGAGGCGAGAACTACATTAAATCTTTTATTATCTTGGAACACGCTCAATAATAGCCGATAGTCTCAAGTTGTAAAGAAACGCGAACTCGTATCCTTTTACTGCAATAGCGGTTTTAATGGCGCCTATAAAAGCGTGTCCTTACTGCGACGAAGTATAACATATTTTTCAATGTGAAATATTGGAAAAGAAATCTCATTAATCGGATGCTCTTTCGCGATTCCACTGCATTAAGAATATTGCACGACGGATAAATCCCATCATAATTAAATTATGACGTTAATCGCGAGGTAACGATTCTGGAAATTCACTATTTACGTAAGAAGACGAACAAGAAGTCGAGAAAGAGGATACGAGCTCGTCCTTGAATCTGTATTTTTATACATATATCGCAACTCAACGAGCTGTTTTCCTACCGATGATTTGCGTTATAAGAGAATTTCTAAAGAATCTAAAAAATAAAGGAAACATGACTATTTTGTCGTTATAAGTTCTCGAAGCGCAGGAAATTTTTTGTTATTTTCGCCATGATATTATTGTAATCCGTCACAGTTACATCAATTGCAATTACACTATACTGATTACACGAAGAAGATCGAAAGAGTCGCTCATCGAGTTGCCAATATCGGGTGTATAAAAGCAAAGGAAAAGCTCGCGTAGAGCTCGTCGACTATGTCTACATTAATTACGTGTTTATTAATTAATAATAATTATTAATCTTGCTACTGACCGTCGATGCGCGCGTGTACCACGATCATTGAAACGAAAAAAAAAAAAAAATACATAGGATCGAGAAAGAAAACATCGCGTGAGTATGTCTCATATGTTTATATATTCGCTTGTACTAATTGTAAGTCTCCCTAAGTTTCCTCCTATGATCGTGCCCTCCTCGACAAGACGAATCAGGAAATTTCGATATGAGGAGGCACTCCCAAGTAATTATAAAGATGCGCAAAGAAAGCGCTATGTGGATCAAGGCACTGTCCTTGATCCTTTCGATTGTCAGACAATGCAAAATTAATCATCTACGTGCGAACGTTTTCTTCTACATACGAAGATTTACTTTTAAGAAAAAAAAATTCAGAATATAATAATATACGTCACGTGCGTGTGTAAAATGATAAAATCTATTCAAGCATACAACAAGAAACTTTATGTAAAGTGTTGCGAGTTAATCGCATAATCCTAGCATATCTCATTTCGCGTCAAACGTATCGTATCGAATAATAACGGCATATTATATCAGCGAGGAGTGCATAAAATATTACACGCCAACGCGTGCTGGCGTTCATATTGTCGATTCTCCTCGCATAAACGCGAAACTATTGTGTGTTATATAATTCCGTTTCTGTATCATTCGACGCGGCGATCACTTATTTTATCGGTATCGGGCCAGGATCGACTCAGTGCCTCGACTCGCATCAAGAAACGTTCCATCATTACTTACTGATACAATGTATATATGTATATTATGAGTTTATCGAGCGCATGATACTCCTGTAATCGTATCTGTGCCCCCATCGAAGAACGGAGAAAAACTAGAAAAGACATTTCAGATTCATGCCTTCGCAACGAATGAAGGAGAAAGGAAAAAGAATAGCCATACGTGGCTTGTGTTTTACGTGAGTATGAGTGTATATATGTGAATGTACTTTTATACGTTTACATGTGTGTGTGTGTCAATATGAGAGTTGACCTCGACGTAGTAATAATAAATTCTTTACCCGTCGTGAGTCCAGAGAATCTAAGGACCCAGCTCTAAAGATCCGCTACTTAAGAAGATTAAACCGACGAGAAGTGCAACATTAACGAAATATTGATAGAAATTTATAATGTATAATATATATTATTTATATATATATATATATTTATATGTAATATATGCAATAATGACTTTGTATATATATATATATTATGTATATGTATATATAATCATATATTCATCCATTCGTCTAATATATATATTATATATACTCTGGAAGGCGACAGTAGAGAAACTACTGAAGTAAATGCATAATAATATACGCAAAGAAAGAAGACATCGATTTTGAAAATTTCCTCTTGTCGGTTATTTCATATCACTTTTTCTTTATTTCTTTTTTACGGAAAAAATGCATTTCTATTCCGCGCTATTTCTCCGTTTGTCAGCTTCGTCCTTTCCTTGCGACAACTATTTAGATTCGTTCAATAAATCCTAATTATCTACGCCATGTTCTTTTTTCTCTTTTATATCCTTTACAGCATAAATAACACAATATATGATCAGTAACCGCTTAGAAATATATCGAAGAATATCATGTAAATTTAATGAGATTCAAAAATAATAGAGTTCCAGGATTTCGTTTTTGTCATGAAAAAATGCTATAGCAATACTCAGAGATAGGGAGATAGAGCGAAAGAAAGAAAAAGAAATTCATAGAGAGCGAGAGAGAGAAAGTTTTGAATGATGAAGAGAAAGATGAATTATGAGGAATGAAGAATAGGTATTCTAAGAAAAAAATATTTGCTTAAATGTGTTGCACAAACTCTGGATTGAGATATGAGAAACCCATAAATTCCGTCTGATCCAAATTCATCATGAATAGCTTATCCGTAGGTGTCAGATCTGTCTTCTCCGAAGTGAATTGCTTGTCGAAATTACTTACATCCTTGCGATGTTGCTGTGAAAATAAGAATAAATCGTTTTACTTATTTTCCAGAAATATCTACAATAAATATACTTACAATTTTTGGTTTAAAGGGTGGCTGCACTTCGCGATTCTCTATCTTCTCCCAATCGATACGCCGGAAAAATGCGTGGCTTCGCACATCGTCTTCGCCACGCATTCCACATCCTAGTCTCTTGCTTGGATTCTTTGTGAGGAACTACGTCAAATAAATTTTGTGCGTAAGCAAAAAATTTTTGATCAATTAAATGTATTCGTATATTCACACATTCAAATAGATTACAATTTTGTTAGAAATTTTTATATCATACATCAATCTTTAGAAGTATTCAAAAAAATCTATATATTAAGAGAATATTTTATATGGTTGTCTAAAATTATTATAAATTATATTTAAGCTATTGTACTTGCAACCATTTTTGTAATAATAATATAACTGTTATATTATTATATAATAGTAATTTATTTTCTCTCTCGAGTTGCCAGATATATTTGTTTATAAAACTACTTATAATAATTATTATTAACATTATAACAGTAGTGACCATAAATATAGTAATTATAGTTACTAATACCAAAAATTTTTTTCAATACAAAATTTATATCAAAATCCAATAATAAAATTCAAGATACTGTGCGCTTTCTTGATATTTCTACTAAAAGAAAATCTATCTAAATTTTTAAAAAATTTCTTGAGAATTAATATTATATATTTAAGTAAATTCGAGCCTCTATGTACGCTTCTAAACGCGTATTTATATTCCAGGAAGCTATAAAGATAATATGGAAATATAGAAAACACGCGTACCGCTTTACAAACTTCTTTGGCTTCTTTAGACAGACTCTTTGGGTAACTGACGTTGTGGTCCGTGATCGCAGAAAAAAGTTCATCTTCATCTTCGCCATCAAACGGTGGCTGACCTACTAACATCTCGTAGAGTAATACACCGTAAGCCCACCAGTCCACAGATTTTCCATAAGGTTGATATAGGATAATCTGCACAGATAAGAAACTCTGACAGGTAATACTGTACCAAGATTCCAACTTCACTTATTAAATATACCGGAATTGACAAAATATATAGTTACGCATTTCTTGCGATATTTAAAATCAATTTCACGATAAATTGTTGTAGTAAAAGTTTTGTACTATTATATTTCTTAAAAAAAAAAAATTATTTCTGATAAAGTTTCAAGAGCAAAAATAATATAGATATTTATCTTCAGTTTTAAACTGATTATATAAGAATAGAAAACTTTAATTTGAGACTTATATAGAGTTACTTAGAAGCGGAATGTTGAAATTACAAAAGTTGTGAGAGGAATACTATTTTCCTGCATATTTCTATCAAGAGAAAATTGATTTAAAATTTCGTAAGAAAAGACATTACGTATCCATCATCCACGTGCCAATACTTTGCAACATCTTGTCCATGCAAGATCCGTTTAAACATTCACCTCGGGCGCTATGTAATCAGGCGTGCCGCAGAAAGTCTTGGTAGTTTTGTCACCGGTGATGCCTTCCTTACACATGCCAAAGTCCGCGATTTTTATATGACCGTCCTGATCCAGCAAGACATTGTCAAGCTTGAGGTCGCGGTAGACGATGCCACGCGAGTGCAAGAAGAACAAACCGATCGCTATCTCAGATGAGTAAAATCTGTAAACGTGGAGAGCAGCACGTAAAACGCAAGGTCGATACTCGTCGTAAATCAATCACAATGCAATCGCAGCTCTAATAGTAAGAATGAAAAACTGCAAAACACTGTGGAGCGGAATGCTGTGATTGCGGAATAAAACAATCGCGACATTACGGTCGTAATTAATAAATAAAAATTAAGGTCGTAACGATGATGATGACGAGGCGAAACCACGCACATATGTCCGTCTCGACGAGACACATCTCCCGGGTACAATCGGTTTTCATTTCGTATTCGGAATGTGTTGAGAAAGTTCGACAACGTGAATCGCTCGAGAGTTCCCGTCCTCGGCGTTCCCACGTCGTCGTCGTCTCTCACGGTGCTTTAATAGAGTTAAGGATATCGATCCGTAAGTTAAAGCGGAGCATGTTCATGAACACTAAAATACTCACACTGCCACCGGCTCTTTAAATTTGCCACACTGCTGTATTTGGTACATCAGATCGCCGCCGTTCACGTATTCCATCACGAAGTACAGGCGATCCTGCAGTGGAAAGCAGAAAGCGGATCTTTGTAAGCCGCAAGCAAGTGTTACAGTTAATATTTTATTGCGTTTTGTATCGTTCATATAAGAGAGCTTATATGCACTTTTGCTCAACATTCCTCATTGGGGCAATTTTAATAGACAATTTAACAAGAGCGTGTTATTCCATTTCGATAATGTTTGAATCAAACTTTGAGAAGATTAATAGATAAGAGAGTTCTATTATTTCATATATAACAGATAAATTCATTTTATTAAATTTAATTAAAATAAATTTTGAAATTTTTTCATAATTTTAAATTAGAAGTCTTCGTAATTTCTTAAATTATTTTAATTTTTTTTTCTAAAAATTGTATGATAGAAAGATTTCATAAGATAAAAATTAATAAATTTAACGGTTGTGTACGTACAATTTATATAATATTTATCTAATTAAGTAACTAAAACAAAATCGCGCGCGCGTGTGTATGTGTGTGTGTATTCAATAACCGTAAAATCGTAACTATTATAAATTATAAAAAGTAAATTATATAAAGTAATTTCGGATAAGAGCAAAAAGTATTGTACCATCGTTTGAAAACAGGAATGCAATTGCACTAAGAAAGGAGGTTTGCTCGAGAGCGCGAGTACACGTTTCTCGACCATTGTGCATTCCACATCGTCGTCTTGTATAATGATGTCCTTCTTCAAGATTTTGATGGCGTACAGCTCATCGGTCCCCTTTCTCTCCGCCAGTAAGACCTTGAATTAATTGATGCCAACGAGATGCAGTCGCTTGCAAGACAAAGCAGTCATTTCTCACGATTATTAAAACTTACCTTTCCAAAGCTGCCTTTGCCAAGTACCATTAAGAAATTGAAATCACTAGCTCTTATCAGATCGCTCTTGCCCATGTTGTGCGGCACATCTTTATCCTGGGTCGTGTGTGTCTTTTTTGTCACCGAAGTTTTCTGAATAAAGTTAGCATAAGACTCACGTATAACTCATGTCAAAATTAAACAATCGTTATTTAAAACACAAAATGAGAAGTAACATATCAAATAACAGTTCAGATATTTTTTAAAAGCATCTATTCAATCATCTGTTATCTTTATAAAAAAAATATAGCCATTTTAATTAAATAAATGATTTCACAAAAGAATTTTTTATTAATTTAATTTTTTTGCACCAAGCAATGAATGATAATACTTATTTTGTATTTTAAAAGTAAATTACAAATTACATATATTGCCTAATAAATAAATACCCGCATTTTGGTTTTAAGTTCGACGAGATCGACGCCTTCCTCAGGAACAGGCACATTGTAGAACTCTCCCTCTTCTTGAGTAAGGAGCTTGAACCACCCACTTGCAGGTGCTTTAATAAGCTCCGATATGCCAAACGATAGAGATCCCATAAAATCATTTCTGGATGTTCGATCCCAATCCCATACCTCAATCAACAGCCGTCTGTCTTTATCCTCGGATTTGAGGTCGCTAATAGTAAAAGCCAGATTGCTAAGCGTTTTATTTTATAAAATAATAATACTTGCAATCTCCCTTAATTCAATCAAGAATATGTTCTTCCTACTTTGACCAATTTGTGATTTATCATAAAATAGAGAGCTTGTGATACAGAAATTATTTATATTTAAAGCTTAAAATAAGTTACACGCATTACAAATATTTAGAAGAAAGGATAATATTATGGCCCTCTATTTACATTTTAATAACTCGATTAGTAATCAATATTTAAATTTAAAATTTAACTATTATATTTGTCAAAGTGCTGTTCAATTTATATGTAATAACCGAAATGTATATAGCCAAATAAAATGTTGAGTGACAAACATTCAGATATATATATACATAAATTGAGCCACTCTTTTTACAAAATTGGCTTAATTTTCACTCTTTAGAGTGAGATTTTACTTCAAAGAATTTAAAGAGTAATTAAATACTAAACTGTAATTTAAAAATGTGGGTGTGTGTGGTCCAAAATGATTGAAAATAAAAATGTGTTATAATAACCGGTTATTATGTATTAACATATTAGAGTCATAATGTAAATATGACGAAAATATATCTATTATTTGAAGTATTTAAGTTATGTAAAAAATTCGTGCTTAGTTAAAAAGAAACATCTCCAAACTTCATAAATTAGAGAAACCTTTTAATTCTCAGAAAGATCTAATTGTCCGGTGCGATTAGCGAAACGACTTACAAGAAGAGTGTCTCGTTCCACTCTGGATTTAAGCACGACTTGATTGTCTTTGTTTTCTTCTTCACGTTGTCCGAATCCGGGATTAGCTTCAATTTAACGTAGGGATCCGACAGCCCATTTGGATCCATCGGAATGAGATTTCGTCCCTCTCGCACTGCGAACGAATAAATCGAGGTCTTTCGGAAAGAATTCACGAAGAGATTTTTTCGGAGCATGCACTTATCCGAAAAATTGTTCCATGTATAGAGTATTTTGGAAAAATAAGAATGTCATATTTTCCGATTGAAAAAAAATTCTCGTAAACATTATATATCGCAAACAAAATGCAGAAAAGTTATCAAATATCAATATAAACTTTAAATCACATGTAATTTATTGGTGCCTTATTTTTTTTTATTATACGTAATATTTACGTATTTTAATCAAATTTAATTCTTAATATAATGTTCCCAACCTATTTAAAATTAGACGCATGCTTAAATAAAGACAAATTTTTTCGCTTCTTATTAAACTTCATTTTTGAAACATCTTACATCGATCTTCCTAAAATTGCCCGAAAGTCATTAATATAATCTCTACTATATTTTACGTCAAACATGCGTCTGACATTTTATGATATATAATTAATTATCTACTGGCTGGAGGTGAAACGTGGCTAAGAAGAATGTAATTAAGGGAAGAAAAATCGTGTTTTGTTTTGACATGAAGAAATCTCTAATCCATTTTATCGCAAATTTTAATTAAACCTCGAGGACATGGAGGTAATATCCTGGTAACCCACTCTGGTTCGCCGCGAATGAGTTCGAAGAAACCTAATTTTCGAGATAATCGACAGTTGATAAGGGCTTCAAGGCAACCGACACGCTGCTATTTCTCTACAATAGTTATCAAGCCAATTTAGACACTGCAATGAGCGACAGAGATAATATTGCGCGAGTACCATAATAATTATATTCGGCAAACTCTGTGTTGATAAAACTTATTACAAGAATTAATTTGGATAAAGATTTATTTAAATTTATGTTCTTGTGGATAAAATTTATGTAAATTTATGTTTATTGTAATATAATATTTATATTTTTCCATTTATATCCGTTAGTGAAACAATTCTAATATAATCTTTAATTGCATTAAAAAGTATTTCTTGTTAATTTAATAAAAAATTATATAGCAAACGTTATACGATTTTCAGAATAAATCAAATTTACACTCATCATACATGTATACTGTTTTGCATTTGATATATACATAATGTAAAGTAATTGTACAAATAATTTATCGTAAACTGTCTAGTTTTTTTTTTTATAAAATGTAATGCGGGAACACATGTATCTATATTAGACGTGTAAACCAGTATAAATACGAGCTTTATTGTTACTGTAAGTATAAACTAACAAATACGTATTTGCTCTTCTTTCGCTCCTTCTTTTTATAAATGTAGAAACATTTTTTAAACCGACAGGCAAAATATGCTACACAGAAAAAACTGTTTATATTTAACGATTGGCTGTTAATTAGTTTCGAATTTCTGTAATACCAATTAAGATATTCAAAGAGCAAAATGGTTAACGAAGATGTTAAATATACTTTTGTTACAATTCAAGCGCTTTTGACTTATATGAAACCAGATATCTGTAATACAATTAAGGTCTGTCAGAGTTCTCTCGTAATAGCATCACCTTCGGCGAACCAATTTGACGAGAGCCATGGAAAATTTAACGCACTCTAGTCATAGGAAATTTATAGAGGATGGCGATGGATATCGTTGCGTTAATGTCGGCTGCGGATAATTACGTTCTTAGGTTGTAACGTTATTCAGGGCTATCACGTCCTTACGATAATAACTCCCACGTTCATCTGGCCCTTAGGCTCAATATATTGCGCGCGATTATAGGTAACGACCAATAATAATTCCGTTGCCGTTTGTTATTCCGTTTTTATTTATTCAAAGCAATCATCCTTGACGACAATAACGTTATATGGTTTTATTAAATCGGACATTCGAAAAAAGGACTAATTAATTTTAACAAACAAAAATATTCGTATAGAATGTCTAGATAGTAAATAACTACTAATAAAGAGCTATTAATATCGTGTCATTTAACGATCGCCTTCCTCTTTACATTATCTATATTTATTTCGAATAATTATTAGAAATTCGTTTCGATTTATTTGAAATCGGTATCTCAAGCATATCTAATTAAATTGTTTATATGTATATAATATTATAGTACGAGTATATATATAATATATTTTTATAAGTAAAATCTTCACTAAAGAAACATGATATCTTCTTGATCGCAGAATGACCTCATCATAAAAATGATTTCGTAAATATGAAGATTTGTTGTGTAACTCATTTCGGCCAGAATTGGGATGAGACATTTCGGCGCCCGAGGCAAAAGAAAAAATGCTACCCTTAAATAAAAAAATTTTCCTTTTACAGTAAAATATATAATAAAAAATAATATGAACATTATAAAATCAAAGCATATGTGTATAGTAAGCTATTAAAAAAAGTATTACGAAAAGTATTACTTTAAATAAAAAGATAAATTTTTTATGAATTTTTATATTTTAAATATGATTTCTTGTGAAAATTCATAAAAAAAATTATCTTTTCACTTAAAATAATATTTTTCCTGTTTTGATAACCGCAAAATTGTCAATTATTTTCTCAAAATTTGTATCTCTGAATATATATTTTATTTATATTTAACATATAACGAGCGCTCAATGGCGGGCGATTATAATCACAGTAACGATTAGTCAAATATATAAAAATACATTGCCTTTTATAGATCCCAACAAATTTTTTATATGAGACAAGTATAATTTAAAAAATGTATTGTATATAAATGCGTCCATTAATTAAATTAAAAGTTCGCATCCTATATTCGTATATTAAACGCGCACACGCGAGCGGAATGGAATTATTTTTCAATAGCATTTTATTTGCGTAGAAATCGCAAAAATATTTTAAAAAAAATTTTGTATATTGAATAGAAAATAAACTAAATAAACTAATAAAAATGAGATTTTGGTGTATTTTACTATGCTAGTATTTGAATTAGATTAATGCTTTCATTATAATATTATACGAATAATAAAATAATATAACTTTTGATATATGTTAGATATTCTTTTTCATGAATCATAAACGATATTTTTAAAAAGTAATTATCTTTTTTACTAAATATTATTTTAAATCTTTATATTCTTACAAGATATAGAAAAACACATATTTTATTATATCACTAAAAGTATAGCTTATATCATAAAATGCTGCAAATTGCACAAGTACTTAATCTTTAGTCATTATAAATCTATTATTCGTAATATTATTATAATAACGGATATGACATAATTCTCTTACAATTTAATAATTTAAGCAATATCCGCCTTAATCTAAAAATCTAGGACAACAAAGAACGAGAGTTAGCAACTTTGTCAGAGGAAAAATTATAATATATAAGCAATGCAAAATATATATGAATATAAATATACATGTTACGATTTTATAAAATATGTATATTCGACTAACTGATAAAACGAACAATTCTGTGATTATGATTTTTAAAAGCGCAAAAAAAATAGAGAAAGAAAGCCCATAAATTCGATGACAGAAAAACGGAAAGTACGAAAACAAATTTTTTAATTTAATTTTAAACCTACCTTCTATGGACAGCTTGCTACCGGAACATGTGATGTGCAGGTGTATACGACCACGTCTTTCGGTGTGATCGCATCCGCATAGATTCGGCACGCTCTCCTCGCATCTCTTGTGCACGTTCATGTCGCATGCTACGTTATCAGATTATCATCGATTATGTTACCATCGATCATTATCATTCTCTGTTTCTCTTTAGATTGTCGCGAAAAATCAATTTGTTGTTTTAATTAATTTCTAGTCGACCAATAAAATCGCAGCCGTCGCTCGAACTAAAGGACTGCTCATCTGCCCTTTTTAAATAATCTTAAATCAGCGATATCGCCTCCAATATCTTAAGAACTTGAAGTTTTCGAGCGCAGCTGCGGTTACACATACGTACACGTGGGAGATAAATTCATGGATTAGGGAGATAAACGAGTTATTTATTTTGAAAGCGTTGCATCATGTTTCAAAGAGACGATTCGAATATATTACATGTTTTAAAGTCGAATTCTTAAATTGTATAAGTTGATGTCTAAATAATCAAACAAAAACCGCTATATTTCTACTACTAAAAATAATCTTTGTGTTTATCCATCACAATAAAAATACAACGATATAAAAATCTCAGATATTTTTCTTGTTAAAAATATCGATTTACGTGTATAGCATTAGACTGATTATTGCAGTTTGCATTATTTCCGCTAAAATCGTTTTCAAAATAATTCGCTCGAGTATATAAATTGAATATCGAGATGATTTATATTCTAAAATCTAGGAAAACGTTCGTTTTTTCTTATGTTGAGAAGAATTCAATGCGATAAGAAGCACTCATACAAAACGGATAAATGGAATAACAGAGGGAATTAAATTTAAAAGTTAGAGTCCAGAATAAGAGTACGGTGAAGATACGGGAGTGACTGCTTCCCGGTAATTTAAAGAGAGCTTGCGCAAAAATTGAAATACAGTAAATCGAGCTTCTATGAAAATGTGATTTGCTGTACCATGAGATTCCATTTATCAGATTTTACTACGCACAAATCGGTATTATTCACCAATAAAATTAAATCATTTTGGGATTATATGAACATTGTGAAGGAAACAAAATTCTTTCGTGTAAGCTATGAATTATGAATACGATCTCGTTTCTTGTAAGAGTTACATTCCCACGCTTACGTATATGTACAACATAAGATATTTCTACAAAAACTCCAAACTATTTGGCGTATAAAGATCTTTATTAATGTGATAAAAAGTCCCAATGGTAAATAGTGACGTGTTTGACTGTGTACAAATATATGTCAACGAAAAGCTAACTGCGGGTAACACGAATGATAATCACGCAAGTGATATCAACACACAGTGTGCAATCAGGGGTTCGCATGTTTGCTAGGAAAAGGTGTACGATTACTTGAATTCACGCGCTGATAAATGAACGCTATAAATCTACGTGAATGTAATATATATATATATATAAAGATTACATACATGCACGACAATTATTGTTCTCGTGTATATATATCTGTATGTGTGTCTGTGTACGTGTATACATATGTACGTGAATTCGTATATATCGTGCATTAGTGCGTAAAACATAAAAATACGCGCATACAGTGAATTTGTAATATTTGCGTATAATATAAAAGCATGATATCACGACTTTATTTCCTCTATACCTCCTTTCACACTGTACATAGATATTTCAGTATTTATTTCGTAGAATAGCAAGCAATGTAACAAAAAAGAATACCTTTAAAGAAAACATTAAAACACTAATTGTAAGTAAATTTTATATAATTAGTAAATGCCGCTAGTATACATATATACGCAACTAGATAAAGAAAGTTTCGTTATTCACTTAAACTTAAAGACTTTATCTTTTTGAACTTTTAACTTAAGATTTAATTACCAAGATAACATTTGCGTTAAAAATTAAATAAAATGAACTTCTTTGGAAATTTTTAAAAGAAATTGATTTCAAAACTGTCAAAGAAATTACTAAATTATTACTAAAATTAAAGAGGAGATTTTTAGGAATAATTCATAACAAATTTAATCTAATTAAATATTATTTATTGAGAGAAAGAGTTTCACTGTATGCACGCGTACATATATCAATATACAATCGCAATTCATACTACATTACGTAATTACACCATTTTAATATATAAAGTTATAATAATAATTACTCGTTCAAGAGAGAGTGCTGCGTTAAATGGTGTATCATATATACAATCGATACATATGTAATACACTGGTGGAGATGCGTATGACGGCGCATCGGTGGATGTTCAACACCCGATGAGATACACGACGCGGGGTTAGAATGCGCCGTGTGAATAAGCGACGAGTGAATAGGCGAAGAATGGAGAGTGGTATATTAAAATACGTTTCTGCTTGGCTTTGTCGTCAGGGATAGGCAAGACGGTCGCCGTCCAGTGAGAAGAGGAGGAAACCGAGTAGCAGCAATACGATATATAGTGTGTAGTTACAGTCATGTGATAATACAATCAAAAATGCACCAAGGCTAAAGGTATACCTACGTAAGATCAATAACGATTACCTTAATATTTTATTCTATTACCGTTGAACAGGTGCAAATTATTGTATACTATGTATATTCCAAGTACCTACATTATACTCGTTCAAATTACGAAGTAATATATCGAGTCGATTTATAGGTTTCCTTACAATTAAGTGATCCTACGATGTTTCATGCATTTAAGTGTCCCTGTAAGTAGGAGGGGATTTCTGATAAGATGAGGATGTGTTTTCCCTTATTTTTCCGAAAGTAAACATAGAACGTGTAAATGGCACGTATCTCATCGCGTCACCGTGACGCCTGGTATACATTTTCCGTGCCACTGTCGTCGCGTGTAAAATTCACGGCGGAATACATCAGTGTCGCCAAGTACACGTTTTCTGTGTCAGTCGGCGTGTAATCGTGCATCTCATCGTCCGGAAGCTTTTCCACAGAGCTCGCAAGACGAGAGAGGCGACGCGGTGAGAGATAGCGAGGTACAAGCGCAAACGTAAGGTAGTGGGATCTTCTCAATGGCGAGGGAATGCTTCTTTCGAGTGCATCGAGAGGGATGATTACGCGGTTTAAAGCCCGTGTAAAACCCGTGACGCGAATGTCGAAGCGCAAAAAGTGAATCACACTCAAGTGAAGCACCTGGTTTTTAAAGTGAGATCTGCAGACGTTTAAAGGTAGATAGTAAGCGGTGCAATTGTGTGTGTGTGTGTGTGTGTGTTCCGTATTTTTCAAGATGCTCTCAAATTTAAATTTCACGTATCTTATTACTCCGATCTTAACGCTGAAAACGATACGATATTAGAAAACTTGAATCTCTGTTGTCAAAAATTCACAGAAATGATCTTTAAGTTTATTTACGACAATTAAAATATCACCGAAGATATCCATTGGAAATTGTAATACCTTATATTTCAAATTATGACTAAAAAAATATGAATTAAACGGTTTAAAAAAATGTTACGTTTATTCTTTTCCACTAAACATATATATATTTCAAATATATCAATATTTATATTTAGATAAAAACTAACAATTCGTATAATACATATTATTATATTTTATTCTTAACGAAAAGATAAACGTTCTTGAATCAAAAATACGAAACTTTAATCCAAACCTGCTAAAAAAGAATGGACAATCTAATTAATTTCTTAAATTTTGATTGTTTCCATTTGCACGGAACAATATAAAAATAGATAATGGAATAAAAGATTACAATGTAAAGTTTTTACCAAATATAAAAGGTATAATTTCTTTTTCATGGATAATATAATTTTTATAAAACTATGTGTGTATAATAATACAATATATATACATTTTCTATCAAATTATATAAATATCTCTCGTTTCTTTGACGATTCTTGAATGGTTTCTGTTAACAAAGTTAGTGATAAAAACGATTGACTATATTCGTTGGGTTTCCGCGCTCGTATTCCGTAATTAAATTTCTATAATCAAATTGAGAGAGATTGCTCCGATAAATCAGACTCTTCTATTTGTTAAATGCACAATATATAGGAAATTCCTACAGTTTCATCACATATTGTCATAGCATTATTTGCATGTATCCATATCCTTTCACCGTAACATATGTATTCGCAATTATAAATGAAATTTGCATTCGCATGTATACAATTCAATTAAAAGACCGTTGTATCGCAATTTAAAAATGGCCTGCTTAGTGACTTAAACACGACAAAAGCAACAAAAAAATACGTCATTTTCCAGCTGAGCTATACGTGCGTTATTATCTTGAGGAGCTAGATAAATAATGTTCGTCTCGTGGAATTTATTCGACTTCCAACAGTCGTAACGACACAAAGACTATTGCAACTGCAAAAACGAGAAACTAGAGATAGAATTTAGTGAAAATACAGAGCGATACAAATCGTGTGATCGCTAATAATTGTGGAAGGAATCCTTCTGTTTTATAAAAAAAAGTTATATATACATTTATTGAAAGTAAGCATATCCATAATTTTTCGGAATATTTTTAACAAATGTATATGTAAGAATTAAAATATATATACAAGATATATAAGATATGATTCGATTATTATTGGATCATAAAAAAATATATAATTACTAAATTTTGTTAAAAGTACTTTCAAAGAATTTGTGTATTATGTCTTTCAATCTTTACAAAGTTTAACATTTTACGTAAGATCCGCTGCATAATTTCACGTTAGATTTTCTCAAATATTGGTGACTGGTTTATAAATGTAAAACTACGCCTCGAGGCATCCGTCTGTTTCAACAAAGTGACTGATCGAACGAGATGTTAAGCAAACGGTCTTCGCAGACACACGATTCTGAACCTATCTCCGATACAGAAGCGACTGGAAATACGAAATTTCGAATCACCTGATTCGTGCATTTCCGCTTGTTTTTCTAAGGGATGTCACGAACGGCGAAGGAAATTTAAGAAACATTTGTTACTTTTGAAGTCGATACGGTAAGTCCTAGCTGGGTTCAACTTATTATAACATCTATTTCTGCTCGATATTCCCACGCGATCAATTCGTTTGACACATTTAAAATGGATTCAATTCATTTTTTTATTTCATTTAGATTGCATTCATTTATACTCAAATCAAATCTATCATATTTTTAATA